ACTATTCGAATGTATTTCACGATCAAAACTTATTATTTTCATTATAATTAACAAGTGTTAATACGTGTCTAACAAATGTTCGGACGATTGTCTATTGCTAACAAGTATACAGTATGTGTCCAACAATTATTGCAGCGTCCAAGTGCGCTAGCCAAACTAAAATGTTTATGCTTGTTAGGTGACCCTAATAAATTTTGTCTATCTTTCTTCTGTTTCAAATGAAAAGGGTCAGGCTCGGGTTTATTTGTTTCTTTCTGCTGCGTTTATTAATACTCAATTTATGGCATCCGCTAAAGTAGAAGTCTTTTCTATCAGTTTCTGCGGAGCCAAAGGAGATAAAGGCAGTTCAGAAGGAAGCTCCAGCAAAGCCCAAACCGCCAGCAAAAGCGCCAGTGAAGCCACTGCCTCAAATGATGGAGGAAGATGTCATACCTTCACTCAAAGCGATACTTGAAGCACAAGCCGATGTTGCTGATATCGAGTTATCCTTCCAAGATGACAGAGTTAGTTTCTTCCATCCCAATTAACGTTCACTAATAAACTCTTAGCTTCAGCTCATTGAATTTGGGTTGACAATGGCAGTTGGATGGTTCATTCTCGAAAAATGGAGTTCCCTACTCATTTTGGGCTTTCTTCCCCAATGGCCTCACAGGTACTTAATTCTTCTCAGAGAACGTAACTATTTTACCATTGTCATCACCCTTTAGCTTCTGGTTTTCACTGCCTTTCGTTAAATACAAAAATGGTGAACGTAACAAATTAGGACAATATCTACTAGTGATGAACATATCAAAAGCTATCCTTCAAGTAGAAATCTATTACATTGCTAGATGAAAGTTGAGATTTAGAATAGCATAGCGGTGAGCTTGGATAAAAATTAGCACGCGAGCATTGCTACACCTATCTAGGTCTAAATTTCCATTTATAGTTTTAACGGATTTCTACATCAAGGGATAGTTTTCAAACATTTATAAAATGTGTTTAGAAATATTGCAACTTATGAGTAAAAAAAAAAAGAGAAAAAAACATCTAAACTCAATGTCTAATCTTGTTGGAACAGGTCCAAAAGGGTTTTCACTATCCTCATATGGCAATGGAGGAAGCTCTGTTGAGCCATTTCTGGTGGATGAGAAGAAAGTTACAGCAAAGCTTTTAGTTTTTTGGATTGAGAAACGTTTGGCTGCACAAGGAATTATTCCTGTCTGGAAAGACTAATCAACAAAATTATTATTCTTTTCCTTTTTTTTCTTTTTTCGGTGGGGGGCTTCCTTGCAAATGATGTATAGCATAATTCTCCATTCTATTGCATTGCTCCAACAATGTCAACTGTTCCTATGAAATGTATCAACTTTTTAGTCCACAACATAATCTCCTCCCTTGTTTACTATTTAGGAGCTTAATGTTACCTTGCATGACAAAATGTAAATTCTACATCATCTTCAATTGCCATTACGGCACGTGCATGTACTTCTTATCTTGAAGTTATTAGTTCGAATCTCTATACCCCACTTTGGTTCACATATCCTTTTTACATGAATAATGGAGACCACGTACAAATGAGAGGAATCCTGAGCTAAGAAAGGCTTAAAATTAAAAGATCCATATTTTTATTCTAGGATGCATGTGAGTGAGTACAAAATATGCTAGAATGACTCATGTTTGGAGATAGTCTTCACTTTTAAGATTAAGGTGCATCGTTCTTTTCTAGGATGTATGTGAGTGAGTACAAAATATACTGTAATGATTCATGTTTAGGGATAGTCTTCACTATTAAAAAGCGAGAAGTAAGTAACATGATCATGTCACAAGGGATATAGCAGAGTACTGAGCCCATCAGGTGTCCAATCTAAATTTCGAATCATACTTTGTGTTCTTATTTTGGCTCAAATAATTGTATCCATTTTAAATAAATAGGTAGCAAAAATCATTTCACAAAAAGGAAAAAAGATAGGAAAAAAAAAAGTAATGGATAGCGATAAATCGATAAGAAATAAGAATAAGGCTTTTTCTTTTTCCTTTTGTATAATTTAACCAAATAAATAACAAAATTTCGCCCCTTCGCCTCGTTCCCGCCAAAATATCATCTTGGTCAAGAACCGGGCCATAAATTCCCGCTTCTTGGTAGTTCATCGTTTGGAATATCAATCTCACTGTGAACTCTCTCTCTCTCTCTCTCTCTCTCTGCGCGGAAGAAGCATAGTACACAAGCAGGTATGCGTTAGAAATCGTTCTGAACCAGGAGATTTAGGTTTTGAGGCTTTCTGCTACTTAGTTCATCTCGTTATTAACATGTTGTTCTTCGTCCATTGTATGTAAGGTAGTTGTTTGATGATTTACTTCATAACCATGGGCCATGATGATCCTTTGTATGTTTGATCGAAGTGTTTCATTCAGCAGTTCTATAAATCTAAATTTATTTTATTAGTTTGCTTGATTGTAATCTTCTTCGCATAGAGAAGTGTAATTGATTTCTGGTCTCGTTCTAGTGATATGTTCTGGTCAACATATTAGCCATGGAAATTAAAATTTGATTTCCCACAAGCCTTTCACGTTTGTTTCTTTTTAAATTGGATTCAGTTTTTGCATTAATGAGCTCTCGTTTTTATGAAAAACTTGTGCTATCGATTGCTAATTTTATTCTTCGCGTCTTGCACGATTCTGCCATTCTCAACTCCTTGAGTTGAACAGAGTTATTAAGAGGTCATGATCTCAATGTTTTAAACAACACGCGCATATCAAGTTAAATATTGTTATGCTAAATGTTGTTGTTGCAATAGGTTGTTTGTTTCGGATGTTTTACTATTGAGACTAGAGGATGAAGTTTATTTGGTGAAACGCATTTTTCCTATGCAGAATAGACTCCTCGATTTGTTTTCTAACGTTTTTGTTTTCTTCCATTGCATGCAGAAGAAGTGCTATCATTCTTACATTTAGGGAAAAACTCCAAATTTTTGGTTGTATTAATTAACATTCTAAACTAAGAATGGCATCAATCTAAATCATAAACTTTCCTAAGTGAATCAATTTAGACATTTCAAAATTTAGAGGTATAATTGATTTTTTGTGTGTAGATTTATTCAATTGGTAAGTGTAGAAATGCACAAGATTTTTGTTATCATGCGTATAAAGTCATTTTAGATTGCTTTGAACATTACACTGCCATGATCTGATCATAATAACCGTTGAATCCAAAAAATTATGACCTTCACCATGGTTGATTTTTCAGACATGGATACGTCAAACCCTGCAGTTTTTTGCAATGGTGAATTATTGAACGTGCATTCTGGAAGAAAGATTCGAGCAGTTGTTCAAGTTATTCAAAGTGATGGTGGAGTCGTTACAGGGAAGTCTACGGATGAACAGCATTTGACTGTTCATGGCTTGCCCACAGCCCCTCTCATGAACTTTGTAGAGGTGGTTGGTATTGCTGAGGGCAACAAGATCATCAATGGACCGACTTTGGAACCACATTTGGTATGTACTAAAACCAAGTCATTCTGTCATCACTATGCCATTATAATATATCACTGTCCCTATGGATTTGAAAGCTAGTCAAATACGGTTAGATCCCACATTAGTTGGAGAGGTCAATAAAGCATTTTTTACAAGGGTGTGGAAACCTCTCCCTAATAGACACGTATTAAAATCGTAAGGCTGATAACAATACATAACAGGTTAAAGCAAACAATATATGCTAACGATGGACTTGATCTGTTACAAATAGTATCAGAGCCAGACATATCGAGCAGTGTGCCAGCGAGGACACTGGAACTCCAAATGTGTAGATTGTGAGATCCCACATTGTTGGAGAGGAGAACGAAGCATTCCTTACAAGGATGTGAAAACCTCTCCCTAACAGACGCATATTAAAATCGTGAGGCTGATGAGAATTTGTAACAGACCAAAGCGGATAATAGCAGCTAACGGTGGTGGATTTTGACTGTTACAAATACCATTTTGTCCTGATACGATCAATCATTTCACTTATCCCTCAGTAATGTTAGGCTAAATGAATTGTTTTGATATTTGGTTTCAAAACCAAAACTGTCTTTGTTAAAATTTACCTATTGTACAGATGCCCAATCTTACAATCAGCTGTGCCAACTTGCAAATGGGGAATTCAGAAGTTTATTTCTGTAAGGATTTGTAGCTACGCAATGAGAAGAGGTTAGGCGTGTGATTTGTTATGTGATTCTGAGTCTTCTAAACTGCTGTACATTTATTTCAAGGCAGCCATGATGTTTGTTTTGTCCACTGTTTAATGTACTAAACTGGTTCAGAATTTCTTGGAGACATTGGGGCTCCATTTCTGGTCTTCCCAGCACATCCCGCCTACTTGGTCGACATTTTTTTTTTCTCTCGATAATGTTTTGGAATGATTTTGAAATCTTCAAAATTTATTAGAAATGTAATTGTCTGACCCACTAGTAAATATTGTTTTCTTTTGATTTTTTCTTCAACGGCTTCCCTTCAAAGTTTTAAAATATGTCTAGATTTTTACATTCTTACAAGGAGTACTTCGTTGACTTCTCCAACCAATATAACAAAAAGTCGAACGACCGGATTAATTAGACTTTCCTATTTTTCAAATTTATAAACGGGCAAGATGTTTGAAACGCCCTTTTTAGATGAAATTTGTTGATGATATATGTATGTCTTTTGCTTGTAAGACCGTATTTTTTAAATAAAATATAAGAGTATAACAAACAGTCGCTTTGGCCGAGTGGTTAAGGCGTGTGCCTGCTAAGTACATGGGGTTTCCCCGCGAGAGTTCGAATCTCTCAGGCGACGTTTCTTTTTCTTTTTTTCAAGCTTTGTTTGAAATCCCCCGAAGGTTCGAATCTCTCTGGGTGTATGGAAATAATATTTATTTAATATAATTTATTAAGTTCAATAAAAATTCAAAATTAACATTAACATTAACAAAATGGTGACAATTGTAATTCAACCAAAATGCTATGCAACAAAAATTCCACGAAAAAAAAAACAAGAAAAGGTGAAAGCTGTCGAGTAAATGAACATTTGCGAGTCTATTTGGAGAGGAAAAAATTGATAGGATCGTGGAGGGAAATGGCAGCTTCTTCGTCTTCCTTTCTCGCCGCAGCTTCTCAGAAGGTCGGACCAGCCGCTCGCCGCAAAATTCTTACTCTGACGGAGGCCGCCGCCGCTAGAATTCGACAACTTCTTCAACAGCGCCAACGTCCATTCCTCCGCCTTGGCGTCAAGGCGCGCGGTTGTAATGGTTTATCCTATACTCTCAACTACGCAGGTTCGTAATACCTAATGAATTTTAACTTTTTCTTGATTGTTTGCGATTTCACTTTACTCGTTTTATGTCTGAATTTTAGGATGTGATGAAAATTTTCGATTATGTATCCTCTTTTCTATGAATCAGATGTTTCTGTTTGAATTTGATTCGAGATAATTAGGTATTTCGTTTATTTGAACGATATAACCTAACAGTTAAAGAGGAGATGTTTCGGAACTGGAGTCCTTTAGAAGAAAAATTCTCTATCCTTTAACTGTTTCCAGCTCCAGTCACCAAGAATTATGATTTTAAGACCGAGGATTTGTTATGATTATTAGATGCAAAAAACTAGAAGGTTAAATGATTCTGTAATTGTTAAACCGGAATTGGGCCTGGGTATGGTTGGCGAGTTGTTCGAAGATGAGCGTTGCGTTCTTGATATCCTTAACAAACAGCAAATCTGAAAGATTAAACTGACATGCCTGAATGCGTCAGTTGATAGACTAAAAATGATTTTTCATGCAGGGACCTATGTATGAGAGGAGATTAACTTAACTACTTCAGTCTGTAAATCATTCTGGATCTTATAGAATAGTTACGAATTTAATGTTGTTACGAGACCGGAAGTTTGGATTCGTCGATTTGCTTCACGAGCTTTTGACATAGGGATTAATGGATTATTGATATACTACTATCCCAGACTAAATGTATGTTTCTCCCAAATTTATGGTGAGCATTTGTTTCCATCAAGTACCATTGACTTTGTGGTGTAGGTTGGCTATTGTGAGAACATAGCAGGAATGGACATCGTTTAAGTTGTACTTGAGAACCTTTCTCTCTCTTTCCTGCTATGGTTAATGTGACGGCCTAAGCCCACAGCTAGCAGATATTGTCGGCTTTTCCTTTCAGGATTCCCCTCAAGGTTTTTAAAACGCGTATGCTAGGGAGAGGTTTCCACACCCTTATAAATGATGCTTCGTTCTCCTTCCCAACCGATGTGGGATCTCACAATCCCCTCCTTTGGGGTCTAGCATCCTCGCTGGCACTGAAACTCGTTCTCTTCTCCAATCGATGTGGGATCTCCCAGTCCACCCCCCTTTGGGGCCCAGTGTTCTTGCGGGCACACCCCCTTCGGAGCCTAGCCTCCTCGCTTGTACCTTGCTTGGTGTCTAGCTCTGATACCATTTGTAATGACCCAAGCCCACCACTAACAGATATTGTCCTCTTTGGGCTTTCCCTTTCGGGTTTCTCCTCAAGGTTTTTAAAACGCATCTTCTAGGAAGAGGTTTCCACACCCTTATAAAGAATGTTTCGTTCTCCTCTCCAATCGATGTGGGATCTCACAGTTAATTAGTATGTTATTGGACCAAAGTGCTGTTTCTATTCAATTAGAAAATAAATGGGTTAACAAGCCTCTAAGGGTCAACTTGGAGAGAATAGTTATTAACATGTTAGAAGGTCAGAAGTTTAAGATTTTATACACTTTGTGGGTTGGGACTTACTATTGTTTGTGTTTATTTAATATGGCTATCTTCTCAGTAACAGTATTCACAATTCAGCTTTTTATGGTTGATTGGATAATTTTCTATCTCAGCATTACCTCAGTTTTTTAATCACATTATCATGAACTCCCTGTGCAAGAAATAGGATTCAACCATCATCTTTCCTTTGGCATAAATGGACTCTAGTTATGATCTCTATCTTTTGAAATACTTCACTATTGCATTATTTCGTATCAACGTTTTCTATTGTCAAATATTTCAGATGAGAAAGGGAAGTTCGATGAACTGGTCGAGGATCAAAACGTGAAGATACTGATTGAACCGAAGGCGCTGATGCATGTAATAGGAACAAAGATGGACTTCGTAGATGACAAATTGAGGTATTTGAGAAATCTCTTACCTACAATTTTATGTTTTCAGCTCAATTATCATCCATATGTAGAGGAAATATCCTGCATGCTAGTTATTACATCAAACTGACATATAATGGCTCCTAGAAACGCTACTACATTGCTATTCCAAAGTTCAAACATATTCTAAAAGGTCTTAATCAGCTGTGAGCTAATTCCATTCTGAATGCTCCTCAATCAATTTTCTATAGTGCTTGGAGCTATTTACAACATGCAAGGATCCCATTAATTTTTTTTTGCACAGAACAGTAAAAAATTCATTAGATTCCGTCTATTCGAAACTCATTAGATAAGACACAAATTATCAACTCGTAGTAGGCCAATGAAACTGAGTTTCTCTCTTTCTTCTTAGTAGATCGGAGTTTATCTTTATCAATCCAAATTCGAAAGGTCAATGTGGCTGTGGGGAGTCCTTTATGACAACAGGCAGTGCAGAAGCCAACAAAAAATGAGGCAGTTGGAGCAATGAGCACTGTTAGAAAAACTCAAAACTCAAAACTCACAGTTGCATATTTGTTGTGTATTTTGCTGGAATTACAAACCCTAAACCTTAGAGAGTTCTATGACAAGAACTTAAAGCAGCTGTAAGAACACTTATCTATGGCTAATTAAGTTCTTAGAAAGCCATTTAGCCATTGTACTCCGCTAATTATTTCCTTTTCTCTTGCATGTAAATTACTGTAGATTGCACTGGCTAATGAGTTCTTCTGAGGTAATAAAATTCTCCCACGACTTTCTTTTGTTATAGGACTTGGTTACCATAACCATCCTGCTTGCCTTATAATTGGTTAAGTAATAATCAATCGGTTAAATTTTATGTCATCGATTCAAATAAAATAAATTTTAATTTGAGAAGAACACGAGAAAAGCATTAGATTTATGGTGACAGTGATTCTCATTCTTGCAACTCACTATAATTATTCCGTTTTACTCATTCAAAATTTATGCTTATTTCTTTCTAAGTTTCTTCTTATCTTGTTTTGTTTATGAATTCTTAATTAAAATTCAAAAGGAAAAACACAAGTATTTAAAAAAATTATTCTTTAAGCTTTTACAATTTTGCTAATCAGTGGTTTAGTATAGTTAATCATCTTTTTATAATTGTAACACTAATTTTTTTTATTTCTATTCCTCATTGCTTTCTTAATTTCCAAACCATAATGAAAGTCATGAATAAAAGTTAAGACTTTTAAGTTCAAGAAAAGGGGAGCAAAAACAAAGGCAAGCAAACAACAACCAACCCACCAATCATTTTGGCTTAGCTAACCCACTCTCTTCATTCCCAAGCAAAGTCTTCTGAAGAATAAGACAGAAACAGCTATTAAATTTGTACCAAAACCCACTAGTTTTTAGCCAATTTGGTCCCCTGTGGTTGCTCACAACTCTCTGCAAAACCATGGTTCCAAAAATGCTGGTTCTGTTTCTCATCATCTTCCATGGATCTCTGACCTTCGCATCGGATCCCGATCCGGTATTCGACTTCTGCTTGCCGAGCGAGACTCATTCGCCGTGCAAGAACTCTTCCCTGGCTAAGGTAGAAGACTTCATTTTCTCTGGCATAAAGTTCCCTGGAAAGTTTATTAATGGATCTGGCTTTTCATCCATAGCTGTTAATTCGAACGTGTTCCCGGGTCTTAACACGCTCGGAATGTCTATGGTTAGAGCGGATTTTGACGTTGGAGGCGTCAACGTTCCGCATTTTCATCCTAGAGCTACTGAAGTGGCTGTTGTTCTTGAAGGAAAGATATATTCTGGGTTTGTGGATACCAGTAACCGGATATTTGCTAAGGTAATTGAGAAAGGTGAGGTCATGGTGTTTCCTAGAGGCTTAGTTCACTTCCAAATGAATGTTGGAGAAACTCCAGCAACAATTATAGGGAGTTTTGACAGCCAAAATCCTGGACTAATGAAAATTCCAGCTGCTGTTTTCGGATCCGGGATCAAAGAAGATCTCCTGGAGAAGGCTTTCGGGTTGAGCCCCGAGGAGCTCGCAAAGCTGAAAAAGAGGCATGCTTCCCATTCATTAGGCTAGAGCTTTAAGGTTGTTGTTTCAGTTAAATCGACAGCGTCGAAGAAGCTCGGAGATGTCTTCTTCACATCAATGACATTATTTATATCCAAAAGTTTGGAATTATGTTCTCTTTGGCAATGATTTACTTTTATTTATCTTGTCCTACAAGATTTTGCGCTATTTTTCTCAAAGACAATAACGTATTTTCCTTTCGATAGTCAACTAGTGTTCGAACATGAATCTTTGGCTTGTTCTTAGGGAGAATAACTTAGAAATTTTTTATATCATATGCAGAATTTGAAAGGTTATACAAATGCCATTTCATAGTTAGATGATAATATATATCGTCTGCATCGAGACACGGTTTTGTAATACAACACACTAAGCAGTAGCTAACCATTGTAGAAACCTAAGAAGCTAGCTCAAGAGATAGACAGACCTATGCTGGCAGAAGAGTGGCTCTAATGACTTCATTTTGAGCTAGTCCAGCAACCATTTGAACTTAGAGTAAGACACTTAACATCTCATTCCAAATGTCAGGCACACCAGGGAGGCACCAATGGCTACAATCAGAGGATAGACCTTCCTGGTGCTGCTTCCCTTCTTGACCCAAACCGTTCCGGTACACGGACGGGTGGCCATCTCTTCTAAGTGCAGACATTTCTGTGATGTCTTGAAGGTATACTGGGAATCTCATCCTTCTCAGTACTCCCTGAAGAATGCGCAGCTGCCCCGGAACGTGCTGATGGCTGAAGTAGGCTAAAGGCTGCCTTTGGTTGTAGCATTTCCAACCATTGTCTCTGGTAAAACAACAGAAAACAGATTGAATATGAATTTTGAAATTTACACTTACTTAGATTGGATGTGATTCTTACCTGTTATGTCGGGGAGACATGCTTCGAAAAATTACTCGGGTTTTTTCGGGGTTCAAGTTCAAATCTACCCATTTGGCCCATGTGGTAAGTCCCTTCTCATATGCAACCATTGGATTCAGGTATTTGTACATATTCTGGCCCTCCATGTAATAATCCCATCTGTAACCAGTGATAGAAGCTCAAAAACAAAACAAAACAAAACAGAACAGAACAGTAGGTCCCAAAATCACAGCACCACTTTAACTATATTGATACAAGTGCTAACATTTTTCTTACTAAGATATTAGCAACTTTCTGAAACACCTGAAATCTTTAGGTTCGATTCAAGCCTCAGTCTTTGGGTTTTCCCTTTCGGGCTTCCCTTCAAGGTTTTTAAAACGCATCTGCTAGGGAGAGGTTTCCACACCCTTATAAAGGATGTTTCGTTATCCTCCCCAACCATGTGGGATATCACAATCCACCTCCCTCGCTAACACTAGTTCTTTTCTCCAATCGATGTGGGACCCCCACCAAATCCACCCTCTTCAAGGCCCATCCCCCTTCAGGGAACGACCTCCTTGCTGGCACATCACCCGGTGTCGGGCTCTGATACATTTGTAATACCCCAAGCCCACCTCTACTAGATATTGTCTTCTTTAGGCTTTCCCTTTCGAGCTTCCCGTCAAGGTTTTTAAAACGCGTCTACTAGGGAGAGGTTTCCACAGCCTTATAAAAAGTGTTTCGTTCTTCTCTCCAAACCAACGTGGGATATCACACCTAGACTTCCAATCAGCAATAGCAAAAATAGGGAATAATAGATTTGAGTCATAATCAGAGAATGTTAGCGACATAATCAGAGAATGTTAGCGACAGAGGCTAATATGATCTAAAAGTGAAGGCTTTGTATTCATTGTATTCATTGTCTTACGAGCTCCATTGTTGAGAGTGAGTCCACCAGTGAGCTGAATCAAACACAAGAACATCAACTCCTGTCCAGTACTTGGCGTTCTCTTCAATTCTATCTAAATGCAATACTCTCTTGTTTTCAGCTCCTTTGTTCAGTTCAACCAGAAGTGGAGCCCATGAAAACTCAATTGAAGTCTCAAAATCCTATTCAAGAAAATCAGAGTGCTTCAGTTTCTCATACCCAAACCAGAGATTGCAGAACTTCAAGTGTTGGAAAGAGAAAGCCAACTGCAAAAATCAATTCATTCTTATCACTCACCATAGCATGGAAAGCCATGGAAGGACCATTATAAGTCACCCTTTTTCTACCGGTTGGTACAACTCCTTGTACTAAGCAAACAAGAGATTCCCACTGGTTCCTCATTATAGAATCCCCCACTAACATTATCCTTTTCCTTCTCATTTTCCCGAGAAAATTCAAGGCATCAAACCTGTAACATCAGAGTGAAGATATAGGAACAAAACCTTGCAAATCATATTATAAACCTCAAAACTTCACTGTTACACTACCTCACTTAGTACTTTTCCCTGGCTAAAAGCGATTGTCATTCAAAATTATCATAAAGAAAACACTCAAAAGAAACTTGGTATATTGTGATAAAACACTTGTAGTGCTTTCTAATGTCTTCCTTTTTAACGGAAGCACTTCAAGAACACTCTCTGAGAGTGTTAAACCAAAGTAACTCGTCGTCAAGTGCTTTGAACCAAATTTCTAAACATGCATTTCCGAAACGTTAACTGTTTTCGATTAAAGTAAAGAACCTGGGAATGGAGCAACTGCGCGGCTTCCATTTCCACTTCTCGTAGTCAGAATCCGGCCGGCCATTTCTTTGACAAGTGACGGCGGAACTAAGATACGGACAAGATGAATCGTACAATGGATAAGATTGATCGAAAATCCATTTTCCTTCGGAAAAATCGCACCGCCTCTGAGAATCACCGCCGCTCTGAACAATGTGAACTTCGTCGTCTTCTTCGCTCAGCCAGGACTCATCGTCCTCTGAACCAAATGGCGATGAGTTTCCATGGTAAAAACAGAGCAAGATGAAGAAGATGAAGAGGAGAAATTCAAGGTTCGATTCTGCCATTGGAGAGGCGAAGAAGGTTTCTGCAGTGAAGCAAATGAGTGTGAGAGCATTTGCATTTTTGTTGATGATCAGAGCTTTCCTTTAATGCATGACTGGCGGAAGGTGGGGCAATTCTCAGCTTCTTTTTTCTTCTTTATTGTCCCTCGCCCTATGCCCACTTTTTCTTTTTCTTTTTGTCCAAAAGGTTTGACAATTTACTAAAATAGGGTTAATTTACTAAGATAAGGTTACACCTAAAAAGGGTAAAAGGGTCTAAACTATTTTTAAGTAAATTTGGATATAGTTCAGTGGATCAGATATTAATTATCATATCAAAGGTTGATGATTCGATTCCTCTACATAACTGTTGAATTAAAAAAGTTTTAAACTTCGTACGAATGTATAAGTATACATACAAGCAATTTAATACAGCTCTAGGTCGAGAATTAGGGACGTTTAATTACGTGAACCACTGATTCATAAATACTAACACACCCAAAATTAAATTTGGCTCGACTCGAAGGGAGAGTTTGAAAAGATTGCCTCATGAGCTAAGGAAAACTGCGAGATCCCACATTGGTTGAAGAGAATAACAAAACATTTCTTACAAGAGTGTAGAAACTTTTCCCTAATAGACGCGTTTTAAATCTGTGAGGCTGGTAGTGATACAAGCGGTGAGCTTTGACGGTTGCAGAAACTATTTCCTTCAATGTTAAATATTCCATGAGTAAAGATTAAATTGGCTTAAACACAAACTAACTCTAAGCTCGGTGTCGAGAAAACTCAATTTGATGTCAAATCTTCACCGTAGACAAAAAGACCAAAATACCCTTGTTCCACACATTCTTACCGGGGCAAAACCCATGATCCTTAAATAACACAGGAATAATTTAGGCTTTAAATAGTCAAATTTTCTTACCCAAACTAACTCTAAGCAGGGTGTCCAGAAAACTCAATTTGATGCAAAATTTTCACCGTGGACAAAAAGACCCAAATACCCTTATTCAACACATGCTTACAAGGGTAAAAGCCCATAATCCTTAAATAACACGTGAATCGTAACTTGAAGTCATTTATTACATAGGTTCGAGTCTCCATCCCACATTTATCGAACTCGACCAAAAATAATACGTCTTATAAAAAAAAAACACAAATAATTCATTAAATCTAATATCCAAAGTTTCTAATTTCTATGGATAGAAATAAGAAGTTAGTTCATGATTGGCTCCATTCCTTTGTTGGTGGGCATGAATTACGGGACATTATGAACCACCGGAGTGGTACCGCAATCAACCAACCAACCATGCTTTCATTATCCACTCTCAAAGTCAAAAAGTTTTATCCTTCATAATTGGTGAACATTCTTGAACTGTCATGTTTACGATATTTAATGGATTATTTATCTTTAGAAGGTATAATTTTTTTTTTTTTTTTAATTTTAGCTCGTGAAATTATATCAATTTAGATTCTAAACTTTCAATTTTATCGAACCTTATTGATTCCATTACAGTAGAAATCATTTCATAAATTTTGTGAGATCCTACCTTGGTTAGAACGAAACGAAACATTTTTTATAAATGTGTGAAAGCTTCTACTTAGCAAACATGTTTTAAAACTGTGAAGCTAACGACTATGCATAATGAGCTAAATTGAACAATATTTGTTAACAGTGAGCTTAGGCGGTTACAAATTCATTATTTTCAAAAAATTAATTGTAACTGGTTATAATGGATAATATGGGCTGCCGGTGAGCTTGTATATGTAACGGATTAAAGTGGACAATATTGACTAGTGGTGGGCTAAGCAAATTAATTTTTTCAATAAATAAATAAAGTTAATATAATTTTCCATTTCTTTATTAAATAGAAAATAAACCTATATTTTACTACCTCTAAAACGACAAGAACCGGTCCAAACGGTTCGGTTGATTTTGTGTAAATTGGTTCAATAGTCCAGCGTGTAAAACCGAAAAAAATGGTTCAATTACCGGTTCGGCCTTTTACAATATATCTCCTCTCTGCCCTTTTTTTTTTCTCCGTGGTTCCCGCTCGGTGAACTCTACTGCGCGGCTCCTTGCTCCTACTCTTCTTCGTGTTCCTCTTGGCTCCATATTCTTCATTGTCAATCTTTGATTCAGTCGGAGAAGGCTCTTTACATTCTAGGGTTTCAAGCGGAAGGTGAGTTTTCGGATTGCTTTTGTGTCTTCTGTTAAGCGCTGATGCTTTTGGTGTTTATCGATCACTTTCTCATGCAAGCATATTCGAGTTTAGGAATTATATGCTGAAATTTTTACGGGTTTTAGCGTATTTTGTACTTTGATTTGGCGGAGATGAGTTTACTTCTTCGTTGAAGGCGGAGAGAAGTTTGTTTAGTCTTTTCGTTTTTGGCTGTGTTTATGTGTGCATGGGCTGCAACTCAATGAGAAAACGTATCGAGCTCATGGCATTGGGGTTTTGTCTTGCTTAAAGGGGAACGGGAATTGTCGGTCTTGTTTTTGTGCATTATTCTGGCTGTCGAGATTGCATTAGCATCTTACAGTTGCCTAATCGTTTTGATAGTTGGTAGACACTGGAATCTCAGTGGTTCAGCGAAAATGGCGGCCTTCAATCTCGTCGCGAATATGTATGACCCGGCTTTGAAGCCTCGCTTGATACACAAGCTTCTTAGAGAGCACGTTCCTGACGACAAGCGGGCGTTTAATGATCATTCGGAACTCTCCAAGGTGGTTTCTATGATCAAAATCCACAATCTCCTCTCTGAATCCTTGCATTCCATGGATCAAAAGCTGATCGACAGCTGGAAATCTGCTGTCGATTCCTGGGTCAACCGCTTGTTTCTCCTTCTCTCTAATGATATGGTATAAGTATGCATTTCATGGAAGTCCATTTAAATCACAAATTTTATTGATATATAGCTTTTGATTTATACTCTTTTTGTGGGTTTAACTATTTGTTGGCTGGTGGGCTTATGTTCAGCTTGATTTGATGGGAAGCTTCTCAGTTGTTCATAGGAACGGCGGGAATCGAAGTTCAGAGGAAAATATGCTGCTTTCTGAGTGAAAAATTATGGCTACTTTTAGCTCTAAATCTAAAAGTTGACTACATAAATGTTGATTATGAAGTACAATGTAGAAAATATGCACGCCATCAAAACACAAGCGAGGGACTTTAGCTTTTAATTGAAGAACGTTATGGTGTTGTACACATGACAACTTTTAGGACGACTTAAATGGGGGGGATAAGTTCTTATTAATCTATATTGTGATTTGAATCTTGCTTGAATTTTCAACTTTTCATTGGCACGCAGGAAGATAATATCTAATTTTAACTGTTTTGGATTTTTATTTCTTGGGAAATTTCTCAACTTCATTTTGTGGGTTACTAATTTTGACATCCACTCTTTCTAAAGCCTGATAAATGTTGGGCGGGAATCATTTTACTTGGAGTGACTTGTCAACAATGCAGCTCTAGTCGATTTTTGGCATCATATACAGAATGGCTTCACAGGCTTTTACCTCACGTGCAGGTAATGCTTACTTTCCTCTTGGATTGATTCTCTAGTATTTAACTACATGTAATAAGTGCCCAAAATGTTAAATGATAATGTATGTATGAAGAACAATAAGTGTTGATCAGACAAAAGTAGTGCTTCTATAAGCGGAGCTTCTGCAATAATTCAAGTACTGTTAGTAGGGTACATCTTTGCTCTTCTCTTATGTATAACAACTCATCATCATCAATGCTTTTTTAATACTTGAATTCTACTAAAAATTTTACACTACTTTTTTTTTGTTTTTTGTGTTTTCTATTGTTCCATAGACAGATTCTCAGTTTCTGAAGGTGGCCTCTTGTGCTTCGATCTCAGATTTATTCTTGAGGTACATCTTCATTTGACCTTGATGGAAATTAATCATACAAAGTAGTCACTCAAACACAAATTGATTAGTTAAATATACCCTTTCCAAAAGCAAAATATCTATGTTAAGCCATTTGCAGATTTAACTGAACAGCCTCTTAGGATTTGTATATTGTCGTTTCTATATTGATTTTGAGAAATGCAGATTCAACTTTTGAATACAGACTTAAGAATAATAGTCAACAGAATAACATTCTGAAAAATATTTCTGTTAGTTGAATGTACCCTTTCCAAAAGAGAAATATCTATGTTATGCCTTTTGCATATGAAAGACACTTTTGGAAAGTATTACTAAACAGCCATTTAGGATTTGTATATTGTCGTTTTGGCATTGACTTTTAGATCTGTGAATTCTGACTTGAGAATAATAGACAACTGGTTTTATAACATTCTGGAAGTTGTTACTATTAGTTCATTTTGTTGCCAACTCGAGCATAGCTCTAATGATGAAGAGGTGTATTCTTGACCAAAAAGTCCCAGGCTTGAATCCCCACCTCTACATGTTTGACTTAAAAATAAAATTTTCTATAACTTTAAAGTAAAATGTTTGCACATAATATGGCTGGTTTCATGACTATTAAAGATCTCTCTTTTACAAATTAGATTGGGTAGATTTCAAAGTGTTAAGAAAGATGGGACTTCTTGTGCTGGGAAGGTCATTCAACCAGTTATAAAGCTGTTGCATGATGATAATACAGAAGCTGTTTTGGTAAGTAGCACAGGTGAACTCAAATTTTTCAGACTATTTTCTTGTGTTCATGAGCTAAATAATTTTGTAACAATGACAGTTTAATAACCTATGCCAACTGAGATCCCCTATTGTAAATTCCTTGGGCTTTTGTGAAAACTCCTCATCTCTCTTTTTGTACTCTTTGCTTGGTAGGTGCAACTTTCGTTTCCCAATAAAATATGTAATTATTTGCATATTGTTGATGCAGGACGCTGCAGTTAATCTATTGTGCACTTTGATAGCTTTCTTCCCGTTTACAATCCATCGTCATTACGACTCTGTAAGTGCCTTATTGAATAATGTGATATTCATTCTGTCATAGATTACATTTATGGGAGTATTGGTAGTTTTCTGACTTGGTGGATTCAAGCTGCAGAAGGAATAAATTGCTTTCTTCAGAAAAAAGCTGCAATGAAAAACTGGAGAGAGTATTACCAATAGGAGCTAAAAGAATTTTGTCCATAACTGCACCCATCCCCTAGATTTTTTTTTTTTTTTTCCCTTCTTCCACCAAATCTTCCTACTGATGGGGCTTAGAAGTTCTACTTTGTTGGCGTTCCAACCATTTTTATATAATCTAATAACAAGCCATTTTGTACTGGAAGGTCAGGGGCTGTTGTTAATATTACTCGGTTGTCCTTTCTCGACATCTTGGCACATATGGCTTCATGTTGTTAGCATGTTATTTATATGCGTAATTGAAAGAAACTGAGAAAATGTAAATCCATGCCAAGTTTGTTTTAATGTTGAAATAATGATGCCTTGTTTGTTCCTGATGAATTAAGTAATGAAATATTTTGCAGGCTGAAGCTGCGATTGTTTCAAAAATATATTCAGGAAAGTGTGGTTCTAATATGCTGAAGGTACTGTGCCTCTTTTTAATTTAATGTATTTTTAATCTAAGATAGCACTATAAACATTAAACTTCCCCCATAATTTCTGTCTCTGTTTCATATCCAACATTTAGAAGCTTGCCCATTGCCTGGCATCACTTCCAAAATCAAAAGGAGATGAAGATAGCTGGTCTTTACTAATGCAGAAGATTTTGTTATCCATCGACAGTCACTTGAATGAGGCCTTCCAAGGCATTGGTGAAGGTAAACATGAATTGTAAATAAAATAAAGCTTCTCAATTTATTAAGATAGTGATAATGATCCATTTTAATGTTTTTGTAGATTCAAAAGGCCATGAAGTTTTAAGGTTACTGATTCCACCAGGAAAAAATCCTCCACCACCTTTAGGTTGTAATTCGTTGTCAGAAGATTCCTTTGACAAAATAACAAGGAGCTCAGAGCGAATGTTAACACCTAGTATTTCAACCCTGATGTTTTGCTGTTCTACAATGATAACAAGTTCATACAACCATCAGGTAGCATCACAACATCCATTTTTTTAATTTTTATGCTTGTCTTAGAAGAGGAACAATTTGTCTCAATATGAATCTATGTTTGTCTACAGTGAGACCTCACTTTATTAATGAAGATAGTATAAAGAAGAAAAATTATGTCAACTTGATATTTTATATGTACTTTATCAGGTGGCAGTTCCCATTCGCCCTTTATTAGCGATTGTCAAGAGAGTGCTGACGGTGGATGGTTCTTTGCCACCCACTTCAGTGCCATTTATGACATCTCTGCAGCAAGAGTCAATGTGTTCAGAACTTCCGGCACTGCATTCAGACAGTTTGGATCTCCTCATTGCCATTGTTAAGAGGCTTCGCAGGCAAGGCATCTACTATTAACTACATGCACTATATACCATAAAATCTTAATTATTGAGTGTTTATTTCAAAACCTTCATGAGATCCACTTAGTTTACTTATGCTAGGAGGAAAATGTGTGAAGCCTAGCCACTCAATTGTCACTAAAAATATGGATGCTATATTTTTGTTTATATATTTATTATTAAATTCTTATGCAGTCAATTGTTACCACATGCTGCATCTATTGTGCGACTCATTGTGAAGTACTTCAAGAAGTGTGTCTCTGCAGAACTAAGAGTAAAGGTCTATGCAGTTGCTAAGTTATTGATGATGTCTTTGGGCGTTGGTAAGCAGTAGTATATCTAATACGCATCTATCGACTTGTCAATTAAATTTATTTTCTCGGAGAAATCAATTAGGCATTATGAATTTGTATAATGTGATCATACCATTACGAAACTAATAATTTGATTGTATTTGTTGCCTGCCCTTTTTAAATACTTTTCCCTCTTGTACTTTCTCTTTAATCTGATTTTTTTAAAAAAAAAAAATTATTCAAAGATGGCTGAAATCGAAACCCATTGTCTTATTGAAGTTAAGTTATAGGTGCCCTTCTTTAAAAAAAAAGAAAATTAAAGAAGTTAGGTTTATTTTTATTTTTTTCCCCATTTTTCTGAAAGTGGGGAGTTCATTCATCTTTTTGATGGTTAGCCAAAAAAAATTGCTCACTGAAGGGTGCACAGAATTCAAGTCCTTTTGGAGCTAATTAGAATTAGATATTTTTTTAGGCAATGTGAAAAAATTAGGACTTTGGCACTTGACTATGAAAGGAACTAGCGTTAAGGTTATCAGAGCAAATCTGTTTGCCAATCCAACTTGCTTACTGCTGAATATGCATGGATCTTTCAATGTTATCTTTTATAAAATTATTAAAAGATATAATCTGTGTTTCATTTGGCATGAGTATTATCATTTTTAATATTTTAATGTCTACGGAAATAATGTTTTGGGATGTATATTTATTCGGCGCTGAATCTGAGTCAGGAATGGCTGCATCTCTTGCACGAGACGTGATTGACAATGCACTAGTTGATTTGAACCCTGTTGATAATGAGAGTTGTGATCCATCAAGTGTGAATCCAAAGGAAGCACAAAGGGAATTGCTGCAACACTATAAGAAGAGGAAACGTCCTTCAGTTCCCACTTCCATGAAAGGGCAACATGAGAGGCATGGATCAGGCGACATTACCAGCAGCTGTATGTCTACTTCAGTCCACTTGAGGATAGCTGCACTTGAGGCTTTGGAGACTCTTCTTACATTGGTAGGCAATTATATATGTTTTTCTTTTTTTGTGTGATTCTTTTCTTTTTTTTTTGAAGTTTTGAATTGGATCTTTTTGGTTCCCTTTTGTGACCTGTTATGGTTGCTAATTGCCAACTGCTTTATCTTTTCTTTTTCTTTTTTTTCCATTTATTTGTCTGCATAGGCTGGTGCTTTGAGAACTGAAGAAGGGTGGCGTGCAAAAGTTGAACATCTTTTAATAACAGCCGCAACATCTTCCTTCGAATGGCCACAGGCCTCAGATGACATCTTTTTCCGAGCTAATGAATTTATTGAGGTTTGGGCAGATTATCAGTTGGCGGCATTTCGTGCACTACTGGCTTCATTTTTGTCCTCTGTTCATGTACGCCCTCTGGCTTTGGCTCAAGGTCTTGAGCTTTTCCGTAAAGGTAAATCTCTTTTGAAATGTCATTTGATCCTGTGGAAGGCGAGGATGTTAACTCGCCTTATTTATGAGTCAAACTGCAGATGTTTTTATGAAAACATGAACTGCAAGATAATGATTGATGACTACTCTAAGAGGCGGTTTGCTAGGATTACGAGTGTAACAGCCCAAGCCCAAGCCCAAGCCCAAGCCCACCACTAACGGATATTGCCCTCTTTGGGCTTTTCCTTTCGGGATTCCTCTCAAAATTTTTAAAACACGTCTGCTAGGGAGTGGTTTTCACACCCTTACAAAGAATATTTCGTTATCCTCCCCAACTGATGTGGGTTCTCACAATCCACCCCCTTTGGATTTGTTCTCTTCTCCAATCAATGTGAGACTCCTCCAACCCATCCCCTTTCAGGGCCTAGCGTCCTTGTTGGTGCACTGCCTCGTATCCACCCCCTTCGAGGCTCAGCCTCCTCGCTGGCATATTGCCCGATGTCTAGCTTTGATCCTATTTCTAACAGCTCAAGCCCTCTGCTAGCAGATATTGTTCTCTTTGGGCTTCTCCTCAAGGTTTTTAAAACGCGTTTGCTAAGGAGTGGTTTCTACACCTTTATAAAAAATGTTTTGTTCTCCTCCCCAACTAACGTGGGATCTCACAATGAGATTAAGAGATTTATTTAACTAAAATTATGTTCATGATCTTGGAACTTGCCTTGGACATGCTAACCAAATACCTTCATGACATGTTTTGAGTGTAAAGGACTCGCATACTATCACCAAGTTGCCCACCCTAAAAAAGAAAAAAGGGGAGAAGAAAAGAAAATCTACATAAGCAATTCTGCAGCTTTATTCTTATTGATAGTTTAAGAATAATATGCTCGCTTTCTTGTTAAATAATTTTGCTTTGGTTAAGCTAACACGTGATTTACATGAATTTTTAGACTATTGAAAGCACTCCATTATGGTTTTTGTTAGCTATTTTCTGATAGATTCTTTCTTCTTCAGGTAAACAAGAAAATGGATCTAAACTTGCTGAATTCTGTGCACATGCTCTCTTAGCCATGGAGGTCCTAATACATCCGAGGGTCCTTCCCCTGTCGGATTTCTTGCCTGTGCGTTTGAGCTCTCCTGAACCACAAGCTACCTATAAATTCCAGGAAGATATGTACTTTGGTAGTATGACTTCTAGCAAATTGTTGAAGATCGACACGCAGGGCATGGAGCAGAGCGACCCTGAGTTGGACGATGAGTTCTCGTACGACAGAGTATTTGCCAACAACATTGAAGAGGCTCCAATTAGAGATGCTACAGGTAATCCAATAAATGACTATGAAATGACATATAACATCTCAAATGATCTCGAAAAGGAGCCCTATGCAAATGGCCTGGTGAGTATAGAAACGCCCAAGACGACCGAGCAGGCCGCTACAGCAGCCGTCACAGAAGTAGGGGTTGTAGAGAAAGTTGATGTCTTTGCTTCTCCCATGTCATCAAAATCGGACAAAACCGACGATTTCGTACATGATCTCGGCTCTAAGTTACTGCAAGAAGATGATTTCCCTGATATTATTGATGCAGATCCTGATACAGACTATGAAGGGTGAAAGGTAGTAGCAATCTCAAATCAATTTTGTAGCCACAAGGGTGTTTAGAATTCAAGATTAATTGTTGTTTTCTTGTTCATGTCACCATAGTTTTAAGCTGATCATCAAGAACGGCTATGTATATAAAGAGGTGGAAGTTAGCCTTGGTGTTCATTCCTTAAACCGTGTTCCAAATATTAAAATACAATTATATTTTGATGTAATAAATGATATCAGTGAAACCAATATAATTAAATTAAATTAAATTAAAATGTCTTCCAATTTTTATAAAATTATTTTTTTAAAAAATCAATTCTTTTTTATTTATTTATTTTTATAGCTATATTACGTATAATTTAATTCTCCAACTACTCTTAGACGTTCCAACTGTTAACTCGTAGGCAATACGCAGGGGAAGAATCCCCGTGAATCACGAGGAAGGCTGATTCTAATTGGATCTCAATTTTATTCGCCAACTTGAATAATTAGTTTTTTTTTTTTCAAATTAGTTAATTATTTGTTAAAAAAATATTCTTGAATTTTAAAAAGTTTAAAAATACTCTTACTATTATTATTATATTTCAAAAATATCCATAAAATTTTAAAAGTAGTATTGAATTTTTTTAAAAAACCTTTACTAAAAAAATTTAAAAAAATCTTATTATCAATATACGGATAGATGCTGTCTATTAGGACATTATAAATTATCTCCCCGCTAATGTTACGTAAAATTTTAAACTTAGTACTAAAGGTAGAAGTAGCTTTTTAACCTTTAAAAAAAAAATTGAAACTTTTGAGAATTTAAGAATATTTTTTAAACATTTTTTTAAAAGTAAACCCAAAACAAAATATTAACGGTATTCTAAAAAGTTAAAATATATTATTGAAACATTTTAAAATTGAATATTTTTAAAATCGAGTGGAAAGTAATTTTTATTTATTTATTAATTTAGCTTAAATAAACTTTTTTTTTCCTTTTTTTTTTTAATAGAATAACCATATTATAAGCTCCTTCATAATCAACGTGTTGTATTATTTAAATTAACTAAAAAAATATGGAAATCACATGAATTATTTGACAACGTTTTAAGGAAATTAATTAAAAGAAGAATGCATTTTCCACGAATGTATATTTTATTTTTTCTTTCTTTTTCTCATTTTAAATAATTTAAATGGGACAATAGGTGGGTGAGAACACAAAGGGATTGCAAAATCATAATGGTAATAAAAAATTCAATTACGTTCTAGCCATGAATTAATGGTGCTTATCAACTTAAACATACCTTAGACGACCAATAATTGACCCGTAACAGGTCCAAATCTTTATACGTCGTTGAACTAAAAAAATAATAATAATAATATTTTATTTTATTTTATTTTATTCCGCTCAACGACTAGAGAAGTAGGATTTTGAGCTAACGACATTTGAAATGATCGTTGATGTATTATCCACTTTTAGCATCAACGTTTCTTATAAATCTACGATCAAACCACTCTTTTCAATAATCCTCAACAATTTTTTCCTCGAACAAAATACGTCCATCGTTCATCGCTTAAGTCACTCTGACTATACATTCGAGGCTTGCAACTTTTTTGTTCGACACTACGGACTTCCAAGATATTATGATATTATTCACTTCGAGTATAAACCAGCTTTACTTTTGATTTCCTCAAAATGTCTTGTACTAATGAAGATAGTATTCCTTATTTATGAACCCGTAATTTTTTAGTTAATTTTAATATTGCTAAACGATTCAACAACTATACCAAAGTGTGTAGGCAGCAGCTGTATTTTGACCAACAAAACGCGTTAATTTTTAAGTTATTTTAAATTAGAGTTCTACTAAAAAATATTAATTTCAAATATATTATCTTAAAAAATTATTGTTCAACAAATTATTCGATGCGTTACTATAAAAATAAGACAACAAGGCAAAGTCAACATGGACTCAGGTTTCCTCCACCTCGAGGTTGAACCAATAATAATAATAATATTATTATTATTATTATTATTATTATTATTTATCTTAACCACGTTCAAATTAGTTGTACCATTAATTAATGGTCTGTTAATTATATTGAAAATATTACACTTATTTTATATAATTAATCTATTAAAATATAATAAATAACTTATGTATGCATCACATCTATAAATCATAAATTCAAAAAATTGTTTCACAAGTTATGACGTCTAACAATATTTTAATTTTTAAATTTGTGAAATTAATTTTTTTTCTGTAACAATTTTAAATTTAGATTAAATTACCAATTTTTTTTAACTAAATGTCAATTAAATTCTCAAACTTTAAAAAGTATTTAATAATTTTAAAAATTTTAATTTCTCGTCATATTTGAATTATTTGTTAAAATCCACTTATTTAAACATAAAATTTAAAATTTAAGGGTTTATTTGACGTAAAATTTAAAATTTAAAAATTAGATTTGTAATTTAAAATTAAATTTTAGTATAATATAAAACTTTAAAATTTTAAGTTTACATGTAAAAGTAAAAAAATCAGTAATTAAAAAGTTATCAAAATGCACAAAATTTATAGGGTAAAAAGGTAAAAAGGGGGGGGGACAGACTTGATCACGTGGTGTGGACTGTGGTGCACGTGAGAAGAATAGTTTAGTAATAAATGAAGTGGAGGCGAGGGGTACCAATCTCCAAGCGAGAAGGCGTAGGCCCCTCGAAGGCAAATTTTCAATTTCATAAAAGCTTCGGCCACAGTGCGTACCCGCCTTCTTCAGCTTCACCTCCAAACTATAAGACCCAACTTCACTCACATTTCACCCCCCACAGATCTCGCTTCTCTCTCTCTCTCTCTCTCTAGATTCGTTTCCCGCATTTTCTTCCTCCCTGACAATTGCTTCATTTCTTAGTTATCTTTGATCGGCGACGTCGCTTCCATGGCGATTTCTAGAGAATCGGAGGGTGGAAAATGGGTGCTGATGACCACTGCACAAACGCCGACGAACATTGCGGTGATTAAGTATTGGGGGAAGAGGGACGAGGCCTTAATTTTGCCTGTCAACGATAGCATCAGTGTTACCCTTGATCCGAGTCATCTCTGCACTATCACCACCGTCGCTGTTAGTCCCGACTTTGAGAAGGATCGTATGTGGCTCAATCGCAAGGTAAGGTTTCTTTGATTATCTCTCTCTTTAGCACATTTGGTGAAATTGCATGTGATTCTGGTGGGTTGTGGTTGTTAATTTGGCGTGTTCTTAATTGTTGGAACTTTGGTCAAACGTAATTTGCGAGTTGTGGAATTTACCCGATTTAGACGGTTGGAAATGATTATTGATGAAATTGATGTTAGAGTCTTATCTGTTTCGATGTCTGTGGAATTGCAGTGGAAGTTTTTGGAAGAGCTAGGTCCTCCTTGGTCATAATCCACGTTGACTCTGTTTGATTTAGAAGAGAGAAAATATAATGAACATTGATGGTCGAGGATTTGCGTTTGGTAACTCTAAATCCAGAAATGTTTGCAGATTTTTTTTTTCTTGTAAAGTATTTAGTGTTGACTTAAACCTATGGGGTTGGTGCTTGGCGGAATGTGGTTGTTCAAGTTACAAAAACACTTGAAATTCCTTTTGACATTTAATTGAAGGGGGGCGGTTTGAATCCATTTAAAGTTAGGTAAGCCCATTTGAAGAGGTCAGTTCTGAAGAAGGTGAAGGTTATCTATGAGGAGACACGGAATCTTAATAACAAAGGATATCTGATTTTTTTTCTCTTTTTTTTTTTTTCGAGACATCGAAGCATATCCTCATATTTGGTGTTTTTTTTATTTTAGATCTTTGTAAGTACACATTTTATCTTTGCTTTCAATATTTTTAGGAATTTTTGTTGGATCAAGAATTAGATGGGTGAGTCTTTGTGTACCATGTAAAGTGGGAATGTATGTTTTAAGTGAATATTTTATGTTACCCATGGTATATTCATGTACGCGTACGTACATTCATATATTGATGTTTCCCTATCAAATTGTAGAAAATGTTGAAATAAACTTTCACCATTTCTTTGTTTCTTTTGGTTTTATGCTGGTCCGTGATAGTTCTTTTTTCTGGTTAGTGTAGGAGATATCCCTTTCTGGAGCCAGGTACCAAAATTGTTTGAGGGAAATACGCAGTCGAGCTAATGATGTTGAGGATAAAGAAAAGGGGATTAAGATAGCAAAAAAGGACTGGGAGAAGTTGCATGTACATATTGATTCATACAATAATTTCCCAACTGCTGCTGGCTTGGCTTCCTCTGCTGCCGGTTTTGCTTGTCTTGGTAAAACCTGACTTCTCTCTTAATTTAGGATTTTCGCCTTTTTCTATTAGATATGTTTGAAGAGTGTGGAAAATTTTAAAATGTTTGCAAAATGGCCCTATTGTTTATCTCAACATGTGGTTCTGATAATGAGTTTATTTGCACATATGATACATTTTATGAAATAATGATCACTATATATATAATTGATTTTATGTTTGTATATGCAGTCTTTGCTCTGGCAAATTTAATGAATGTCAAGGAAGATCATAGCCAGTTATCTGCTATTGCAAGGTATCCTTTTTTTCTTTGGTCATCTCTATACAACCAAAAGTCACTTGTACTTGATCCCTCTTTTCGAATACAATATTATGGTTGGTTTTAGGGTGTCATCCTTTCTTTTATGAGTTGAGCGCTTCTGGCTGTAGAAGATCCATACTTATTTTTGTTTCTTTATTTGCCCCATTCTTAAGCTTCTAGGTTGCTTTAGTGTTTATTTTTGCACCCAAATTTTAATTGATAAAATTAAATTTTGTAAACTCGACGTGCAGTCCCTTATAACTTCTGATTTTACATTTTGACTTTGCATTCTCATGTTTACTTCTGCTTGCGTACAGTTCAGATGGATATTGTTATGCTATATTTAATATCGATTTTTGCCCTCTATTTGAAAAAGAGCATTTTGCTATTTATATCGTTTTAAATATATATTTACACAGATTGCTAGTATGCTTGAGGAATAGAGCTCATCTCATAGACTCCCTTGGACCTCCACGATCATTTTTTCTCCATGGGAAACAACCTTTCAAATTTCATTAAAGGAAAAGAGGAAATGTACATCAAAGGAAGTGAAAGGGATCCACCCAACAAGTAAAGAGATTATGAAAAGACTTTCCAATTAGTAGTCAAACGTGAAGAAACGGATTAATTTTGAAACTATTCTGATCAGGGACTACGACTAGATATATCCCAAGAAAACTG